CTTGCAATAGCCATGTATGGCTATACTTTCTCTACAGAAGAGGGCACTGAAATTCTGATTTTTTCATTTGAAAAACCTACTAAAAGCCTCTATAATTCTGTAGTAATGACTTGTCTGAATTTTAAATCACAAATTATATTTTTCTATTGAGTTTATGCAGCAGTCATTGTTGCTAGCATTCACTGCCCAGAAAGCAGTGACGTAGTGGTTAAGCCATCAGGCTAGAAACTGGGAGACTGTGAGTTTTAGTCCCGCCTTAGGCACGAAGCCAGCTGGGTGACCTTGGGCCAGTCACACTCTCTCAGCCCTAGGAAGGGGGCAGTGGCAAACCACTTCTGAAATCTTTGCAAGAAAACTGCAGGGGCTTGTCCAGGTAGTCGCCAGGAGTCAACACTGACTCAAAGGCTGCCCCCCCCAAAAGATAGGTCTCTTATATACTGAAGAACAAACAAGCTTATGCTGCATTTGTAACCATTAACCCTTCAAATTCACAAAATGTCATGTATACCAAATCATGATTTTGCATGCTAATTTTTAAGTACTCCCATCACAGAAACAGAGAGCCAATTTGGTGTAGGAGTCAAGGCGCCAAGCTAGAAACCAGGAGACTCTGAGTTCCATTCCCATCTTAGGCACAGACCCAACTGGGAATTCTCTCTCTCAGCCCTCAGAAGGAAGCAAGGGCAAACCACTTTGAAAATCTTGCCAAGAAAACTGTGTGAACTTGTCCAAGCACTCACCAGGACTCAAGACTAACTCAAAAATGCCCCTGCCCCCCAGATCACACGAAATACCCAACAAAAATATAATTAAATAAAGGTTTAGAATATCCCTCATGACAAATACACCCAATTAATTGGATAATGTTATGTATTTGTACATGAATGAGAATCATTGGTTTAATTAAAACTAATATTTGTTTCTTTTCTTTTGTTTCCAATCACCAATACCATATCTAGTGTTTAAATTAATGGCAAGAATGTCATACAGCAGGATACCAAATATGCAATTATTATTTTTTATTTCTGTCCATTTAACTTCACAATCAAATCTACTTATTATTAAACTAAGTTGGCCATATATTACAGATTCTTAAATTGACATGGCCATTTATGATACATCAGTATTTTCTACCAGCTTCATTCATACTGGAATTTTTGGCTAGACCTGCCATATGAACACTGCATTCAAGCATCATGGCAAGCCAAAATTCCCCTCCCACCAATCAGCATTGCCAGGAAACCACAGATGGCCCTATGTATGATTTGCTAGCTTATCATCCAAACCAGAGTGCTCCATTTGGAACAAGCCAGAGAAAAAAGCTACTCAAGACAACAGAACAATGTCTTTCAAGCACAACCATGTCTATATCCAAAGTATCTTCACAGACAGAATACCCTTTATGTGGATACAGCTGATACTGTTGTGTTTAAAATCAGAAACTTCTCAACACTGCCAGTTTGTTTTACAAATGAAATAGTTTATTGGATTCTGTGCAGAAGGAAACTCTGTTTGCATAAATCAATGGTATTTATGTAAACAAACAGTTTATTTGGTAAGCAACATATTTATGCCTTTAGAAATATGTAAAGTTAGCATATGGAAATTCATCCACTATATAAGTAGTACATCTGTGTAATTGGTTATTTTTAAACAACTAATGTTTAACAAAACAATACTGTCTCATATTTATCAGTTGAAACTATTCCGCATATATGAAATGCTATGTTTCATATAACATTTTTACTTGTTATTTATAACACAATCTTAAAAGTTCCAATGTACACCATTCAGGATTTATCCAAGAAGCCAACTATAAATACCTTTTTAATCCATGGGGTACAGGCTACTAGTGGTGTTCAACCCACTTTGAATGCAAACCACCTGAGTCGAAACCACCCCATCTGAGTTTAAAACGGTTCTGTCAAATTCATAACAACTGTTCCAACACTTTGCAAATGATTCATGCTTTGAATGCAATGTGATTTCAAAACTTTGTATACCCCTACATGTCATTTTTAGCAAGTTACACAACAAACCATCACCTAGGTTAATAGCTGTATTTGGTACATGCTTATCTCTCGAAACTCATATACAATCTACATCCATTTATGAATGAGCAAATGTAACTAATGAATAGAGATACTAAGGTAGTGAAATAAATATGCAAGGAGGAGTAAAATCCAACAGAACAGGGTTTTCTTCTCTCCCTCCACCCCGTAACATCCCACTGTTCTGCTTCAGAATGCTCCCAACTATCAGATACTTTATCTCTAAGTTAACTATATATTTTTTCAAGAGATAATGAACTTGACAGCCCTGTTTACACTCTGAAATTGCACCACGTTAATATAGCTGATACACAGTGCATGATGAAAAAAACAAGAAAACAGGATTACAGGACTGAAAATAGTAATTTTAGTTCAAATTAGGCCAAAAAAGTTTGAAATTATCACTTTCTAAACACAATGTCCATAAATCATTATGAAAAAGGTATGTGCATAGCAAGAATTAAGGAAGCCATAACATGATTTAAAACTGAAAATACAATCTGTTTTGCTTCCAATTGCATGCAATTTGCAATTCATAACTGACATTTCAGTACAGATTCACTCAAAGTGATATATTTATATAGTACTATTGCAAAGAGGTACATTGTGACAAGATTAGCAACAATTCTTAAAATAACAATTATTTAAGAATCATAGTGTTACCTAAGGCAATTATTTTGCACACTTTTAACATCTACTTGGAAAGATCTAAAGGGAAAATAATTGACTTCGCTAATTTTACCCTTGATAATTATAAAATAGCTCTGCATTTCATTATAACTGCAAATTTTCACATCTAATTGTCAGCCTTGATAGAAATAGGATAAATGCATTGTAAAAAAGCTCTGACAATTAGCTATAAGATCATGATATAATCAATTTTGGACTTATAGTGCAAAGTAACACTAGAAATCTTAGATGTATATTATACTATTTACAATAATAGTCAATAAACAAATATGTGCTTATTCACTCACTGTAATCTCTCATGGCTAGCATTGTTACTAATTAGTTAACACATTATTTAAATGTATTTACTGTCCTTGTTAACAGATTGCAAAATATAGGTATGGCATTTGGTATAGTAAGATTCAAAAGATCAGAACACTTAATGAAACAGAACTTTCATGAATTTATCCTGTAAGATTTCTCCAAGTGCAGTAAAGAAAGCAGTCGTCAGATCCTGATTAACAGCCATTTTAAAGATAAAATTCCAGTGTGAGCAATATAGAATGATGAACAAAAAACAATGAAGATATATTCTATGGCCCTGTGTGCAAAGAGCAGTGCAGGTTTCTGTTTTTTTATATCTGTCTGTAATATGTTAAAACCAAATTTTCTTAAGTGGGGAGCGCATGGTATCAATTTTATCTCTTACAGGTCCCCAACTTAAGACTGAAGTTCTTCAGGGATTATAAATAACAAATGGGAAAGGCAAGCAGGATGCAGAAAAGATGTTGAAGAATAGAAGCATTAAAAGATAACGAGTATAACTCTCAAATTCATGACTATCCATGTTATGTAGCTGAACACTTAAGAAATTGTGTCATCAGATTTAAGGGTTTTAAGAATCAGCTGTTTTATAGGCAGAATACTGAGCTATGTGGAAAAATTCAAGGCATTCAATCTTATGAGAGAATCAAGTTCAGTGTGTATAGGATTGCAGTTGTAGTACTATCCAGAAGGCTTCTTTTAGAAGGAACTAATCATGACAATAAAGCCCCTTGTAGTAAGTGACTATTTACACAATTTGTTATTCCTTGGCATAGTGTGATTTGAATTATGTTACTGCTATATTTTATTACCGTATTCATGTTTACCCAACTAGAATGTACACAGCTTAAGAGTTGGTTGCAACTGAGGTGGTTGCAACTGAGGTGGCATATAAACCTAAGTAATTAAGAAAGTAAGTAAATAAATATAATTAATGAGTTAGTACACTGGCTGCACCTACATTTTACATGGCAAGAAAAATAATGGAGAAAGAATTTCATGGCTTTTGATAACATATTTGTACAATAAATACAAAAATTAAAAAGGTATCTTTTACAATACCAAATCAATCTGTCAAGCATTTTATAGCTTATGTTGCAACTTTCAAACTTTTAAGACATGAGAGAATGAGCTGATAAATAAACTGACTGGATTCCACTTAGGTTATATAGAAGTTATTTAAGTATTTAGGTGTCAAAAGTAGGAACAAAGTGATAATATGTTTTGGCATAACTTTCAGAACAGGCAGCTTAATTAGTTGAGAAGTCAAGTAATTCTGTTAGGTCACTGTGTTTAAGTCTGAATTGTGGCAAGCTAAAAATAATTACATCTTTTGCCTAGATACAGTACTTGATAACAGAGTAACAAAAAGCATGTCTACTTTATTGAGATTTATGGCTATTCCTCTCCCTAAAAAGATTCGGTAACAAGCCAATTCACACAATATATGTTTGACGATACCTGCAAAAAATATGTTTATGGACTATAACTTGGGTATGTTAAATGAAACAGACAGCATGGCCTACGATTCCTGTGATCATTCTTCTTATAAAAATCCTATTCTACTAATGAACGTTTGCTGCCAACCTACCAGTATTCACTTGTTCCACATGTTTACATTTTTCCATGAGAAAAGATGCTCAAGGATGAATCAAAACTGCTGTAATTCATGTACTTTAATTCACTTTTTCTACTTACAGCAGGATAGATCTTCCTACTAATCTCGCCAGTGATTCTTTGAGAATCAGTTTAAGAAAAAATTTCATAGTATAAATTTTATATATTTAGTTCATCTGACATAGCTGACACTTCATATCTAGTAAAATTTCAGATGGGGAAGCATGTACAATTTCAAGTGACATCTCATGCCTCAAAGGACAAAGATTTCTAACAAAATAAGCTCACACAAAGCAGCAGCAGAACAGCTTTAAAACAACAGAAATCACATTACTATACCTTAGTGTTTTGCAGCTGAGCAAGGCTTGTGCAGGCATTTGCTAGAAGAAAATCACCACTCAGGACAGCCATTTTATTTCCAAACTGCATGTCTTTCAATGCTCCATCTGAGGATGTCAGTTCAGCAATGTTTACTATTCCGCGATGCACAAGGAAAGCTGTGTGGATCAACTCTGTGATCTCTGCAAGAGTTCGTTGGCTTTAAAGTAAAGATCAGACATAGTTCAATCAGTTGCAGAACCACTGCACGATTCACAGGTATTATAAAAAAAACTTTGAGCAGAACTGGATATTTATCAGTGTAAATGTAACATTCCCTCTGTTTGGGCCTATCTTGCCCAACTGTCTCCTTTGATTACATTTCTTTCTATCTGAAGTAGAATCTTTATTTCTTGAAAAACCTGAAACAGAAAATGGTGTTAAAATCCTTCCTCCATTCTTCAGATGTGGACTGACAATTTTAATACAACAGCAATTATTAAGAAAAAACTAAAGAAATAAATTTACCAAATTAAAACAATCTCATGTGCATATCATCATTTTGTATCATATTTCAGTAGTAGTAGTTCTGATTCAATAGCTAGGGGTAGTATTGCCATGTATCAAATTATGGAGGTACATATGGTGGTATGTGACAGAAACATTCTAGTCAATGTTAAACTTTGCTGTCTTCCAGGATGAGATAGAAATACAAGCCATCTATATTATAGAACAGAAAACTGCATTCTGCTACAACCCAAGGTCTAAGGAAGGGTTAATATATTCTACTGTTGATGGGGTGAGGGGGAGTAGAGAGAGACTAACAAGGCATCCTGATGCTCCTGCTGTCATTGTCAGGGCAGTCCTCCCAGGAAAATGTCCATATCAATTCAACTTATCAGATGGACAGCTGATCAACATTAAACAGATTTGCTCTGGGCAGACTGAGCTGAATACCTGCCATGAATAGCAAATGAGAGCCCTCTGGTCTCAGCAACTGAGATCTGCCATTTCTGACTTCTGCAGATCCAAGGGCATATGGGGATCTCTAGTGATGAGGACATAAAGCTGCAGCTTCCTCAACAGATAGCTCGTTTTTCCCATCGAAGGTACACATTAATATCCTGAGGAGAACAGGCTCTTTTTTTTTTTGACCTGCAACACCACCCTTAGTTATTGAACCCAAACTGCTACTGTTCTTTTTCTTCCGTTATTAAGCTTTTAATGAAGAAAACAAAATCGTCTCTGTACAGGTCATCATACAAAGCTTCAAGAGATATATCAATGTAATATTTTCCAAGTCTCTCATTCCATTTTACCCTTCCTTCCTGTTTACTCTCCAAATAGTACCTATAACATTTAGCTAACCACATTACAATTCCTCTTCAGGTTCCATTATTTTTAAATGAAACAGCATACAATTATGGTAAAGTCTGAAATTATTAAATAGCTCTAGGCAATTTCCAAAGATTTGGAGATCTCCTACAGAACATCAGAACAGCGGATTTTTTTTCAGCAGTTCAGTTCAGATTAATGTTTTAAGAAAAACATTTCCATATAAATCCTGGAGCATTCAAATAATTAATAATTATCTAATTAAATGACTTTTAGGCAGCCTTTTGTCCCTTGCACTTATTTCATTTCAAAATTAATAACTGCATCAGATACTTCCAGTAGCTTTACCCTTATGTCTTTTCCGATGTAGAATAAACAGTCATCATCAAATCATATATGTGATTCCTAGGCATTAATTGCACAGGCAACAGTCCTACTAAAATAACTTTTGCCTGATATACTACTATACAATGAATCTGAATTAATATCTGTACACAGAGAGTGCCAAAAATAGTGTGTTGAAGGAACATGACAAGATTTAAACACAAACAAAAACACAGCTAACTTTCTGCATTTAAAATCAAACTATTAGCTTCTATTATCTCATAGTCATTATTTAAAATTAACTGATCATTATTTTGACATTTAAAAAGCTGCAATTAGCCTACAGAAGACTATAGCTTCAAGAATTGCCTGAATATATTCACCTTGTTCATCTTTACTGCACAGGCCAAGTTTAAGAGATTTTAGTCCCATTTTTACATTTCACTGAGCAAAGAAGTATTGATAAGAAATAAAACACCACTGACAATTCAGCCTGTGCTTGTATTTTGAATATCTAAAATGGAACAGAGGGAAAAAAACAAACTTCTCCTTGCCTCTCCCAGCTTAAATCCCATCTTTGGAAAAAGGCAGGAACTTTAAACATTTCCAGAATATCTAGAGTCACCATCCAGCCTACAGGCCCCCAAATCTACAGTAAATAGTTCCTAGTTATCGAAGGCTTTCACAGTTCTGCTGCTGTCTGTGCTCCTGCCCTCTGAAGATGCCGGTCACAGATGCTGGCGAAACGTTAGGAAACAAAACCTCCAGAACACGGCCACACAGCCCGGAAGACCCACACCAGTTCCTAGTTAAAATGGAAAAATGGCCATGGTCCATTGTCACTTTCTTGCCTGTTTGTTCACTTTCACTATGGAAAATGGAAAATGAGAAATTAATGGAACAAGGTCTTCTGCTACATATGATGTACCATTTTGAGAAAAAGATCCAAAGATTTTTCTTTCACAGCATTACTGAGCATTCAGCTTCAATTAAAAATGTTTTATTTTGATTAATTTTTGTGTTTATCCAAACAATAAATAACTTGTGACATATACTTCTACCATTAGGTAAGGAAACATACTTATGTATGAAAACTATGGCTATAGATACATATTGAGAGACAAAAGGAAAGAATCACTTAGAAAATGCAGCCTGTAATAATCCGTCACTGATAGATATTAGAGTTCTCTCAATATTTATTCCCGCTTGAAGAGCCCTGTCCTGTGGTCAGTACCAGGTTATGTAGTAATCAATGGGCATTGATAACAGCAATAATCAAATCATATGGTTATGTCGGGGGACGCGGTGGCGCAGCAGCTTAATGACGCTGAAAGTTGCCGGCCAGAAATGGCTGACGCTTCGGCGGTTCGAGTCCAGCCTTCGCGCTAAACAGGGT